GTGCCTATTTCAATGACCCTTTACAGGAAAACTGAAAGAAAGAAATACTAAACATAAATATTACAATCTGGAAAGGGAGAATCTGATTAAAGAGGCAATGAAAAAGAGCTTGTAAGAAGAGTACTCAACAGGAATATAACTGATTCAATAAGACTGATACAGAAGCAGTTAACAACAACCCTAATGCTAAATGCAGTCTAGAATTTCATTTTGTAATGTATTTTTTTCTTTGTAACCTTGTTGTCAACTCTGAAATAAAAAGCCTGGCCTTCTGTATTTCTGAACTAAATCAGCTGATCCAGATAAAAGCAAAGTGTACAAGTCCAAAGACGTTTTTTAGAGGAACTGGGCTGAAAAGCACTTTTCAGACTGCTGTCAATGTAACAAGGCAGGGTTTTTGGAAAGGAGCTTCTCTGATAGGCTTAAGCCACCACTCCTACTGCAAAAAGAAGCAGCAAAGTGACACCTTGTAGCTCTGAGGAAACCCTCAGGTCAGGGGATCAATTTTTTTCTTCCCCTGAATAAGAACAAACTCATTAATATAAATGGAGATATCATTGCTTGGGAACTCTCAAGGTCAAGTTGGGGTTTGTTGGCTTTTTTCTTTATTAATTTCATTCAGGTAACAGGAGATAAAAACACACCTGGGAACTAAAAATATCTGCACATACGAAAGCACTGATTTTTCTGATTCATCTTAACACCCCCACAGTTTATCTAGCAGCAGTTCTACCTGGCTATGTCACTGAACTGCTGTCATCAAGCTTATAAAGTGTTTTAAAACACAGTTTGAGTTGTGAGTGTACTAGAAGAACAGAGACACACATTGCTCTAAATAAATTGTAGTTAAATTCTTCAATTTATAAAGATTATAGGAAATTTTATCTGTCTTTCTGTACTTTCTGCCCTGTTCAGGTAAATATCCATTAATTAATTTCTGAATGCTAAAATTCTCTCATGCCTGCAAAGCTTTATCACATATTGCAAGTAAGATGGATTTTTCATTCGTATGCATGCCTTTATTTTAGACAGCTCTATAAGAAAGTTAACTGTTACAGCTGTTTCCTGATCCAGCCAACAGCAGCCCAGAACCTCTTCAACACAGCAAGATGTCAAATTAAATGTGGTGCAAACACTTCCTATTCCCAGTACTTGCACAGTTAGAACAGCAGTTTTCAGAGCCACTTAGACACCACAGAGGATTTGTGCCTCATTAACAGCATTACTTTTCCCAAGACTCTTAAATTCTCATGCTTATTTAAGTCCTCCTCATTAAAATATGAAAAAGCACTCCAACCTTTATTTTCCTAAGGAATAAAGACATAGCAACTCCATATGAAGTATGTTTAACCAGCTCACTCTGTAACACCAGGTTTATTTACTTAAAGCACGTGAGCCAAGATCCAATGCAACACCTGTTATTTTATTCCAATATTGACAATAAAAAGTAGCTATATTTTGCTTCATGGCAGATCAATGGTCAGCTCAAGCAGTCTGTGAACATTTCTTACATTATTCCAGCATGGCATCAGTGGCAAATTTACCAGATGATTGCATAACACAAGCACGAAGCACACGAACCCTCTCTTCCCATGTTTACTGAGGGAGCAGGATACAGGCACCTGCAGAAGTGACTTCACACAAAGCTCAGAGAATGAGGACAGCTTTCTTTTTTTTTTTTACTCCCAGTTTACCAGACAAGTGCATCCTTTGCACAAACAAGGCAACCTGTTGGGCTACAGGAAAAACTTAAGTGAAGTTGTAGTTGATAGGATGCTTTCCTTCATCTTGTTCTACTGCAGAATGTGTTTAAATGCTTACCTGTACAAAGAAAGGGAAAAAAAATCAAGTCCCTTGTAATAAAAATCCAGGTTTTTTTACTTGCCTACACCTGTATTTTTAATATATGCAAGACTTTGCTAAGCCTTTCAAGTTAAATTTGAAACTGACAACCTAGATTAGCTTTTGTGTAAATGAAATATACTGTTTTAAATACAAGATGACAAGTTACAGGTTTTTTACTCACAGACATCTAACTTCAAAACTGGACTAAAGTCTCAGTATCACATCATGATTGAGAAATGTGTACTGTCTGCATTTTCTGAAGCAAGTAAAATTCCCTTCATTTAAAATGTTACTGCTTTTATAGTAATAGCCCTAAATTTTATTGCAGCAAATACACTCACAGAAAATACTTTGGTTAGTTCTGTTAGACATAAAATATGGCCAAAGTTAAAACAGCATTAAAAACTTCTTTGCCCTATAAATAAGAAACAAAAAAAGACAAGGCCTACAGCCTCCACTAAAAACCCTAAACCCCGCACATTGAAGATTCCAGAGGCATCTGTTCAAAAACACTTGTTATCCAAAACCTGACAGGAACTCTTGAAAATTCTACTAACACTTGAAACATTAAGTTATGACTAAAATAATTTGTTAACTCAAACGTGCTCTGTTATATAAAAATATTTAATACATATCTATTTCCCTAAGGTTGACATCATTTGTAACTACAGCCTTAATATACTAGCTAGAGTTTTCACACAAATGAAGCTTAGCTTTAAAAACAAGAAAGTAGATGAAAGGTTCTCATTGTCAGGTAAAAAAACCTTAAAGAGTTTTGACAGGTGCTTGCTAGTATTTATGTAATTGTTTGCATAAAAATTAGCACCATTTAAGTTGAGAACTAAAGTTTGATTAGAAAGCAAATTAACATCTTGTTGAACTTATTAGCAAAGAAACCCTAGAACTTATTTTTTTTTCCCTGTAGAGCAAAAAATATAAAATATAAATATTTAAAACATGCAACCTTATTAAACTACTGTTTTAAAACAGTACATTCTGTCAACAGAAGAGCTTTTAGCAAAGCATTCCCAGATAAAAAGCACAATTTACTCACTTCTAATTTAAGATACCAAGGCAAGTTGGAGCAGCACTTCCTCCTTGTCAAACACAAATGCATCAAGAATTTCTGCTTCAAAAATCACTAAGTTACAATCTTATGTCTAAACCACTCTAGGAACTCTCACTTGCTGACATTTATACTTATTTTTCCTCAACAATGAAAACAGCTGTGGTAGCAAAAAATTACAGGCATAAATCCAAAAGACTTCAATGAATCTAAATGAGTATTATTTTGAAAAACACTCACTTCTTCTTCAATGACTGAATAAGCAAATATAAAAATAGTCCAGAAGACAGCCAACTCATTAAAATGGAACAGCAGCCATGCATCTTCTTTGCTTCTATTATTTTGGTAGTTTTACAACATACTAAACATTTTCTCTTTATGGCTCCCACTCAATAAATACACTTCAATAAAATAGCCAAGTTTTTTTACACAAACACCTCTTATGTATCATCAAATAAGAGAAAAAAAAATTAATTTCTTTCAACGTCTACATTTAGAAACACAAACACATTCCAATCCTCTGCTTTTATCTTCAGAATTCAAGAGATATTAACCAAAGCCTTCTGCTTCAGAATCCTTCCTTTAGATACAAATGATACAAAAGAAAAGCCATGTGGAACTTGTTATGCATTTTTCAAAAACTGTTGGAGTTACAAAACAAGCAGAAGCAGAAAACTGTTTGCTACCAAAAGTTTTAGTGGCAAAATTAATTAGCTGAACATATAATGTACTTTTAAAAGTTTTTAACAATTGTTGTGTCATCTTTTTAACAAGGCCTGTAGTTACAGGATAAGGACCAATGGCTTTAAATGGGGAATGGATTTATATTGTATATTATGAAGTTTTATTTTTTAATAATAAAGAAGATGAGGAACTAGAACAGGTTGCTCAGAGAAGCTGCGGATGCCCCATCTCTGGAAGTGCCCAAAGACAGGCTGGATAGGGCTTTGAGCAGCCTGGTCTGGTGAAAAGTGTCCCTGCCCATGGCAGGGGGGTTGGACTAGATTAACTTTAAAGGCCAGTCCAAACACAAACCATCCTATGGTCTCCCCTCTTCTAATTCCCCCACGGGCACTTTAGACTTTTAAAACAAGCACCTCCATGTTTTTTCTTAAAGCTCTGTCCACAGCTGTGAGGATTATTTACAAGCATCCTCATTAACTTCTTCAAACACTTTCCTTCCCTACTGCTGCTAGAAACCAAAAAACATCACCCAGATATAGTTTGTGTATTTTGGGGAGTTTACATCTATATACACAGTATACAGTTAACACAGTATGCAATAACAAATACAAGAAACAGTGTTTTAATTCCTTGTGGTTTCTAGCCGGGGCATGGATCTGTTGAAAACGCAGCTTTTGTGTCAGGCAGCTCAGCCTGCACTGCCTCACACAGCAGAAACCTGGTCCACAACTTCAGGCTGTGACTGCTTTAGGATTCGTTGTCTTTTAACTTAAGCTGCCAAGCCAAACTTTCAGCACACTTTCAGCACGTTCCGCGCTCCTAGATAGCCTCGCATGCACAACGTGTGTTGTCTTTAGGAGAGCGCCTTCAGGCAGGCGCACTCCCAGCATGAAACCCACAAACTTTAGAAGTTTGGGGCAGGCAAGGTCAGAAGCCAAAGAACTTCACCTCCACACTACGGGATAAGGAGTGACGCCTGCGAGCAGCCGCGCACCTGAAACTTGGGGACGCCAGGACAGTCTGCCTGTGCAGGTGGAGATGTGGCAGCTATGGCGAGACACCCACCCTGCGCCACAGGAGCGACCCCGAGCACTCGGATANACCCACCATGGGAAGCCTCAGTTCCTTGCCAGCAGCCAGGTGCTGGCACGGACAGACACACACCCCATGGCCTTCCCTGGCCTGCTGTGCATGCAAGGCCTTGTGGGGAGGGCAGAGGGCTGAGCTTCAGCCTGAGCCACAGCAGGCCATGAAGCACGGCCTTGTGGGGAGGGCAGAGGGCTGAGCTTCAGCCTGAGCCACAGCAGGCCATGAAGCAGCATGGAAATGACTTTCTGCTTGCAGATGGACTTGCGGCCTCCGACCCATGATGTCTGACCCTGGGTACAATAGTCGTGACCACGGCATGACACGCATCGTGGGTGGCACAGATGCCAAGCCAGGGGCCTGGCCGTGGATGGTCAGCATCCAGCATCCGAGCATACCAGGCACAAAGCATTTCTGTGGAGGGTCCCTCATCAGGGCAGATTGGGTCCTCACAGCAGCCCACTGCTTTGACCTCATTTTGTAAGAAGGGGCAGGGAATAGGGACATACCAAAAACACCAGCAGGTGCCCTGCCAGCAGCACCACCTGGTATTCCCGTCCCCTTTCCTCTCAGGCAGCCAGGCTGCCACAGTGCTTAGGAGAAGCCTGGGCTTATGCCAAGGCTTCCTAGCAGCTTGACATTCCCCCAGCCTAAGATGTGCAAGGGCACCTTCCAGAGCACTCCTCCCTCTGTGCCTTTCCAAGCCAAGGTCTAGCATCTGCTGGGCTAGTGTGGCACATGGCTCTGCTCCCTCTCAGCTCTCTCTCCATCTGCCTTTCAGTAACAGCAGCTTGGTCTCCGTGATGATTGGGGCCACCCAGTTGACTCAGCCAGGCCCTGGAGCACAATTCCGCCAAATTAAGAAGTTAATATGTCATGAAAACTATCAGAGACATGACATGAGCAATGATATTGCCTTGCTGGAACTGAGCAAGCCTGTTGACTGCAGCCCCTACATCCAGCTGGCCTGTGTGGCTGATGCTATCTTAGGGTTGTCAGTGACACAGGAGCGTAACTGCTGGATTGCTGGCTGGGGTGCCACTACTGTAAAAGGTGAGTTCTCAAGAGGGACTCCAGAGCCAGCTCAGCACACTGAGGAGATGGTTTGGGCTTCCCCATAGCAGAGGCCAAAGCCAGGAAACAGGACGTACACCTCTGCAGAGATGGGCCTGGCCTGCTCCCCAAAGGCTGGCAGCAGGGTCACAGCACCCCATGCCTCTGCAGAGGCAAAACTATGCCCTACAGAAGGGGATCCTCCACAGACAAGGTAGAAGGACTGGGAAGGAGCTGCTGGGGGCTTGTTTCTTTCTCTGCTCACAGATAAAACTCCAAGTGATCACCTGCAGGAGGCCAAGGTACAGCTCATCAATATCCAGCTGTGTAACAGCACCTTCTGGAATGCAGGGAAAATCCACACGCACAACTTGTGTGCTGGATACCCACAGGGCCGCATCGACACCTGCCAGGTAGGGACGTGCCACGAGCCACTCAGCCCCCAGCAGCACCAGCAGCCAGGGAAGCACCACCCCAACACAGGCCAGGGCCTGCTTTGCCCGGCCACTCAGTCACCCTCCCAGCCCCAGCTCCCCCTGACTGCTGTGGGGGCTNAGCTCCCCCTGACTGCTGTGGGGGCTTCCCACACACTGCCCGTCCACACCTGCCTGCCCAGGCCTCCCCTTGTGACAGAAAGCCCAGAAAGCCCAGCTAGTGCTCTTGGCAGTGAAGAGGTCCAGGTGCCAAAGTTCCATCCTCTGCACAACCAGGAGTCCTGTGCAGAGAGGACAGAGAGAGCACTAATTTACAGGACCCCAAGCCGTTCACAGCCAAGTTTCTGGAGGCCTAGGCACCTGAATACAGCACTGGCAGGGGCTCTGAGAGAGAAGGAGACAGCCCCTGTGCTGACACAGTCACCCAGCACCACCTAATCCTCTGTGCTCTGCTGCAGGGTGACAGCGGTGGTCCTCTCATGTGCCAGGACAACAACGCTGACTCCTGGTGGGTTGTCGGAATACCCAGCTGGGGATATGGCTGTGCCAGAGCAAAGCGGCCTGGAGTCTTCACCTCCACACAGCACTTCTATGACTGGATTCTGGCCCAGATGGGGCTGAGTCCATTTGGAAGTGCTTCCTGAACCACAAGATGGGCAGAATCCAAAGCACATTGCAGTGCACAACAAGTATTTTCTGCTGGGGAAATGCAAAGGCAGCCTCAAGGTCAAAACCATGCTCTATCCTGACCACACTCCTGTGTGCACACAGACACTGGAGATCACTTAGGTGTTGAAGTAAAGTGCCTCTGGTCACAGGGAACCGTCTATTCAGTGCAATTCCAACTGCTGGGCAAAGTAAGGTCTGCCACAATTGGCAACTGCAGAATGAGCGTGAGGGCAGATGTGCCAGGCACAAAGAGACAGCAGCTCCAAAGATCCACTCACAGCAAGAGTGCCTGGTCAGAGAGGACAGTGCTCTGAGCCACCATGGCCTGGAGGAACCTGCTACCTCAAGCCTTGGAAGAGGATAGGAAAAAAGCAGATACACTGGGGGTGCATGTGCTCCAATGCACATGGGCTGTGAATTTAGGGCCTGGTGAGAGCCTGGGCTAAGGGAACACATCTGGGGAACTCCCAAGCATGACAAGGGAAACTCCTGGCTCCTGACTGGAGTGCCAGTGCCCTAAGGCAGAGCCAGATTTCACAGGCAGCAAAGGGGGATTGAGGTGCCAGGTGGTCACACTTCACAGATACTCAGAGGAAGAGCTGGGGTCATTCTGGGGAGAGGAAGCTGGCAGGAACCCTAGGAAAGTGCACCAGGAATGCCGTGGAAGGCCAAGGTGAGTGTGCCAACAGCATCTGCAACACCAAGGCTGTTCACAGGCATGGCCAGCCTGTGAGCCAGGGGGAAATGATGCCTGGGCCTGGCTCCATATCTGGGAGCAGACGAGGGCAGGGAAAGGGAGGAGTTGTGGAAGATGAGAGGGCTGGATAAGCGTGGCAATGGAGAGAAGGAGCAATCAAAGAGCCAGCTGCAGAGACACAAACTGCAGCTTGCTATGCTGGTTTGTCTGAGGGCTGTAGATAATCACCACAGGATGGGAAAGAATCTTCTTAACTCACTAATTAACAAATCATCTACAAACTGTACAAATTTGCACCAAATTTTTATATCCTTTTCAATCAAACTTTGATACTCTTGGATGAGGAGGGGGGGGAATGGTAGAGGCTTCTGGAATGCCATGGGGTAGACTTGTTGGAGGCAGTTTTCACCTGTCTTTTACAGGTGAAAGCAAGTGAGCATTGACTTTCGCCATCTAATAGAATGCTTCAAAATGCCTTGGGCTGGTTGTCACTCGGCCTGCTTTGGATATTCTTCTTGGCTTCAAGTGATGCCTTAAAGAACCTAGAACAAAACAATAAAAAACCACACTTTTGACATAGGAGATAATATAAAGGCTCATCTTTATTGGAGGCCTCCAGTAGCAGATATGGCAAATGACCATAGAATTCCTCCCCTGCATGAGGAGAATGCAGTTTTATAAGCTTAATAAATTAGCATATTTGACAAAAATCACCAATTTGGACCACACATGGTGAAGTAACTCCTCCCTCAGTTCAACACTCTTTAAATCCTCTTCCACTCAGATGGAAACTAAACCTTGCTTATGAAAATATGTCTCAAAGAGCTGTTTCCAGCCTTGGTTTCCAAGAAGAACAAATATAAGTTTAGTTGCCTTGTACTCTGCAGGGCTTGGAGGTCTGAAATATGTTTTGTCTTTCTACTTAGAGAAAAGGTAGGGAAAACTACTGAGAAAACTCGCCACAGATACAACTACAGAGCTACAAATATATGTGTAAAGAATACAGAGGATACATAAAAGAGAAAAGGCAAAAATCAATCTGGCATCACCAGGCCAATGGAATCCTATCTCACAGTGGGTGGCACTCCTCCATTTGTCTTAATCAAGATGGACTGGGCTGAGAAGAACCATCCCACATCTGTACTGGTCCCTGCCACCCTGACTTAAGCTTCTTCAAATATTTCCTGAAGTAAATTTCAGGGGCTGCCTGGTCACTAAAGACCAGGGAAGTGCAAGAGTGTCACTCAGGGCTGGGGATGGCCATTACACTGTCCAGTGAGCAGACCAGCTTAGAGCCACCCAACCATCCTGGAACAACCTTATTGTACTGTCTTGGCAAAATTCTGCTGCCCAAACAATTTCTCCCAGTTCTGTGCAACCTCAGCCACGGGCATCTCTTCCCCTAAATAAACCAGGGATATTTCCCATCACATCAAACACCGCAAAGCACGTGAAACCCCTTTCTGAAGGAGTCCCTTGTGAAGGGACTTCCACCCCCTTCTGTGTGTGCCCAGGGACCCTAGCACCCATTGTGTGGCATGAGGAACACAAGGCTCTCCCTGTGCCTGTCTCCAAAAGACTTTGAACAGAGACTCAAGTGTCCTAGCAGAGACTCAGGGCCCCCCACCTCACATCTTACAGGGGTCTCCACAACTCCTCTGTGGCTGCCTTACACTGATCATGCTGTGCATGCCTTCTCCACCCTCTACCAGTGATTTCACCAAATCTGCACCAAATGCCACAACAATAGAGAGGCTCAAATGCACCCTTATAATTTCCACAGAGTCTACACACAAAATTGTAACGCTCCCATTTGGCTCCTTCCTGCTCTAAAGATCCCAGGTGACCTCACCAGTACCTGCTCTGAAGGTCGGAGGATCCAGCAGCCCTTGGGTCCCATCTGGGCTGCCAAAGTGCTGAGGAAACTCCCCTGGGTGACCATTTTGGAAGCACAGGTGGCTCCAACGAGCCAATGGTTGCCCTGTTTCTCTACCCACACCACTCTCACCCAGTCAGAGCAGGTTTCCATACCCATTCAGCCTCAGGATTCCCCCAGCAGACTCACAGATGTCACGTTCCATAAAGAGCCACCAGCTCCTGCTGCAGCGCTCAGCGTCCATTCAAATCCTGGCCAGTGCCACAGCTCCCTGTGCCCTCTGTTATGCAAAGCATGGGCAGTTCACAGCCTCTGGTCCTGCCAGCCAGAGCTCAATCTGCAGCTGGCATTGCAGCTGCACACCCAGCTCCCTGCCCTGTAGGACCGTCCGCGGGAGAGTCTGTAGGAGAGTCGGGGGTCACTCACGGTCGGGACGTACAGGACGATAGATCTCTGCAGCGAAGTTGTGAAACTATCGTTTATTACAAAGGGCGTGGGTGAAGGGCCCTGTTGCGAGCTGCCAGCCGCAGCTCGGAGCAGGGTCCAGAGAGGAGAGGCTTAAAGTGTAAGAGAATTAAATATTTAAGAGCGGAGAGCATGTAGAAAGAAGGGGGTGAAGAAGTGCAGAGGTGAGCGTGAAAAGACAAGAGGAAGAGTGGAGGAAGGGCAGTGGAAGAGCGAGGAAAGAGAAGAGAGAGAGAGAAGTGGAAGAGAGCGAAGTTCCCATTACAATACAATAAATCATCTTCAGTGTTGAATATTCAGATTCTCTTCAACCAATCTACTACAGCATGCATATCCTATAACATTTCCATACAACCTATAAGAATCACTACATTACCATACTGTGTTATATTTTAAACCCTAAATCTTACTCTTTGGGCCCTATCTGCCAAGCTGCAGGGTCTGCTCTGACCCTTGGACCTGCCTGCTTGCAGAGGGTATTGTTTCATCAAGAGGGGATTACCTTCAGCTGGCCACACCATTGTTTTCCAGTTGTTCAGTAACTAAGGGATGTCAAAACTTGCTTCCATTTCAATCTCGCTTATAGTTTCTACATTCTCAAAATCTTTTGCCAGGCAATCATATTTCTAAGGCTTTCCTGTTTCATCCTCCCCAACACTGCCCCAAATGGATTCCTCAGCTGCTGCCTGCCCCAGGGACTGCACAGCCTCATCCTGCAGGAAGAGGGGCCTAAGAAAGCAGCAGAGAGCCTTCTTACAAGGGCAGGTCCTAAAAGGACAAGGGACAATGGCTTTACAGGCACAGAGGGTATTGGTAATCACGTCCTCTAAACAGAGAGACATAGCTCTGTCCCAGTATTTTCCTGGGAAACTGTGGGAAAGCTCAGAGAAAAGAATGAGAAACAATTCTTATCTCCACTTGCTGCACATGTTATAGTGCACATGTGGAATGTGTTATGGAGATTTTTTTACCAAATGGTGATTTTTTAAATTGAACTCTGGTGATTTTGGATGCATTGACCAGTTGGATCCATGGGTGTGTTATGACAGTCTGGCAAGGGAAATGGGTTTTTCTTAATAGTATAGTATAGTATAGTATAGTATAGTATAGTATAGTATAGTATAGTATAGTATAATAAAGCGATTGATCAGCCTTCTGCAATTGTGGAGTCAAATGCTCATTATTCCCATGTTAGGGATATCGTGCTACAGTAAGGGTAGCTTCAGCTGGGATCATAGGAAGGAAATCTTGATTGTGATAGTACTGAGGCAAAGGCATGGTGTCATGGTTTGAGCCTGGCACAGAGCCAGTGCCCCCCATGAAAATGCCCTCACCCTGGTGTCTGCTGTGAGATGTGACCAGGAATAAGCAAAACAGGCTTTAGCTTAAACATAAAGAACACTTTATTACCTAAAC